CCCAGTCAGCATCACCTCCCCCGCTGCCATTTCCCTCCATCATATTGTCCGTACCAGCATTTCCCCAACCCGCTGAGGTGGCATTTGCCCAACCTCCCGAGGCTTGAGCCTGATCGCGCCCCCATCCCCCCCCGATGTCCCCTTTGCCAGTACTGTTCCGGTCCTGTCCTCCCTGATCTCCTCCTGAGGGTTGCGCCTTATCACTCCCCCATCCACTGCCACTCCACTCGCTTCCGCCTTTTCGGGCATCATGATTTCCATCACCGCGACTCTTGCCGTGCAATGCTCGTTCACGATCCCCTCCGCTCTGCTGTTCCGCTGCATTGTTTTCACTCTGTCCCCATCCCCCTCCACCTTGCTCCTTCGATACCCCATCGAGCCTATCAACGGCCATTGCCGAAGGGCCCTCATCCGTCGCCACACCCTGCACAGACAACATAAGGACAAGAAAAAGCTCAGCTACACAATTCGGGCAACGATCTCCGCCCGCACATGCAGTATACACCTGGACATGCCGGGTCCACAAATTCAGTCTTATATTAGGTCTTCAACCCTTTCTCCTGTCCGTTGCTACGCTGCCCATGAGTTAATGAGACGCCAGAGAGCAGCAGATTTATACCCTGCACTCTCCTCTATGCAGCTACGAGTTCCTTAAGCCTACATATTCAAAATGGGTCCTTCATCGGAAAACCAACTGATGTTCGGGATGTATGGACAGGATGCAAGGACAGGATGTTCGGGATGTACAGACAGGATGTGTATGTGCCTGCACTCTCCTCGTCACAGTTACACTACCTTCAGTGTACACTTTCAAAATCGGTCCTTTGTTTAAAACAATATATATATATATATATATCCTTATGCAAAGAAGGGTCGGCTTTACCCTTGCGGCCCTAGTCACCTGACCAAGGGGGGGGATAGTTACCAAGCACCCCCCTCCCCAAGCCATGCCTCTACTTCAGGAATTTCCCTGCTGGTTGGGAGGCTTACTGGCAGCACCCAGGCACGGAGCAGGGGGATCCCAAGAAGGGCGAGGCGCGTAGCAGTCTCGCGGGCATCTGATCACCATATCAGTGTCTTCCAGCTTTACTTGTGTACTTCCAATACTACTCTGTTCTGTGTTCCAGCCCGCCGGGCGTTTGAAAGCCGCCTATTTTATACGTACAGTCTGCTACTCTTGTCTAATCGGTCCCTTTTCGGAAAAGGGAACCCATGGACCCTCAGGACGTAC